TTGGTATTATTTTCTTATTTAAGTGCACTTCCCTATTCTGTACCTTCGATTTCTCTTCCTATCCTTTGATTATTTCACGTGACTGCCAAAGCAGGGACTGCTAGGGCAGGAAACGTGGGCATTAACTGGTTGGCCAGGGTGCGATACGGGTGTTTCCGTTTTAGATCCATCAATAACTGAGCACTTCATCAATTCCTGGCTCAACGATCCACTCAAGATGGAACACTCACGGGATTCTCCTATCGTTCCAGTCCCCATCTGAACTGAACTGAACTGAACTTATTATATCAGATCGTCAGTTACAGCCTAAGGGAATTTCACATTTCAATGCATTTCCTAAACTGAATAAATGCTACACTTGTTAAATCTATTATCTACACATTTGCATCCGTTGATTTTTCGCCCGCTTATTGGCATTCATTATTTCAGCACCTGTCTCAGTAAAATGCTGATGAATCATATCACATGTAATACAATTAAACGGTTCCTAATAATTTATGCTGTCCATCGACATAACTCATAAGGCAAAGTATTGTTATCCGATGTTGATCCTTGTAAAAGCAAAGATTGCTCTCGCTTTTGCTTCATTTCTTTTTGCAGAGGCAAGGAGAGGCGATCAAAAGTCGAAGTATCGGGGGCTCTGGTTCGCTTACCGGTACAAGAAGCTGGACGCTCGTTAGGCGGAAGCCTGTATCGTCCACGGATTTTGACCTGACCTGACCTGACCTGACCTAAAACAGGTGCACTCGTTGGCACCAAAAAATTGTGCTCTGTGTGTACTACGCGGTAACTCGATTTTTGGCGTGCCATACTGATCGAGATTTTTAGCTGAAATAACGTGGAAAAGAGTGTTCGAATAAACACTTGAAACAAACTTTGACTTTTGTCAAATTTCCTCTGATCCAAGATATTGTAGCGACCTGGAGATTCCCCCGTATGACTGTGTAAACTATTCTAAAATACATTCAAATTATAGCTTTCTTATGTATTAGGGAACTAGGCGGTTTGCCTGTTGGAACGTTGTTCCCGTTTGTTGAGGCAAGGAAGGCGATCAAAGTCGAAGTATCGGGGGCTCTGGTTCGCTTACGTACGACGCTCGTTAGGCGAAAAAGAAGCCATCGACATTCTCCCTAGCTAGCTCTCTCCGGGTGCCCTATTTTTAGCATTAGCTAACGCTCCTCCAGTCCAATAAACTTTTCCCTAGCTTACTGTTGTGTCTTCTATCCATTATTTTTGGTTGGCCGTCTAGTCGCGTACCGGATATATAGCGCACGATCAACGCGCTATAATTGGTGACCCCGAAAAAAAACTATTTTTGGTGAGTTCGGTACTAATATTTTTTTTCAGATCCGGTTATTTATTCTGTCTACCTTTCTACTTTTTCTCTTTACTATTTGTGTTCACATTCACACGCTCCGGAATTATTTCACCATGAAGGTCATTCGCCCAGATTCTGACGATCAGGTTTGTGGGTTCCGTTTCCCTCTCCCGCCTTTCCGAGAGACTAACCCTAAGGCCTGGTTTAACCAGCTAGAGTCCATTTTTTCGTTACATGGCATTAACTCTGACAGCGTCAAGTTTCACTGCGTTGTCGCCGCGCTTCCCCCGCAAGTCGTCGATGACCTCGACGACATCTTGGAACTTCCGGAACATCAGAAAAGTTACGATGAGCTTAAGGCCGTCGTCTTAAAGCGATTTGGCATATCAGACCATGCTCGCGTCACGCAGCTTCTTAATGAAACAGAGCTAGGGGATCGAAAGCCTTCGCAGTTGCTGCACAAGATGCAAGCTCTAGCTAAGCCTCTCGCTGTTGGCGACTCTTTCCTTAAAGAGATGTGGTTTCGTTGCCTGCCACGTGACATGCGCAATCCCTTGTATGCAAACGATGCGCCTCTTCCTCAGCTCGCCGATATTGCCGACCGTATTTGGGAATCCAACGCCCAAATATCTCAGGTTCAGTCTACCTCCAGTATAGAGGTAGCAGAACTAAGAGCGCAAGTATCCGCATTGACCAACCGACTAGAGAAGCTAACACAGTCCGGATCCAACCGCCGAAATCGTCCCAGTAGTCGCAGTCCTCCTAGATCACGTTCGAAATCTCCCCCTAGGTCAAGCTATTGCAGGTACCACGAGCGATTTGGTCATCAGGCCAGATCGTGTCGCTCACCTTGTTCTTTCAAGCGCAACATGCAGGGAAACGGGTAGGCCAGCACGTAGGGGCGACGGACGTTGCTGGCTGCCCCAGTCGCCTTTTCTTTGTCACCGATCGCAGTACGGGAGTACGCTATCTCGTTGACACCGGCGCAGAAGTCAGCGTTATCCCACGTGATTCTAATGACGTTATCGAAAAGGCGACCGGTTCTTTGCGCGCTGCAAACGGCACCACCATTCGCGTGTATGGTCAACGCTCGCGCACGCTTAATCTAAACCTACGACGTTCATTTAAATGGATCTTCCTCGTCGCAGATGTCCAGACGCCAATTCTTGGCCTTGACTTTCTGCAGCACTTCGATTTACTTGTTGACGCAAAGCAACGCCGTCTGATCGACCGTCAAACAAACCTGGCAGTTATAGGTACTTTGACCGACATAGAGTCAATCAGTCCTGTATACGCCAACCTGTCAAGCTCGCCTATCGGTCAGATGCTTAATATGAAGTTCCCGCAAGTCTTTCGTGCAATGACACCGTTTTCATCCGCCACTGAGGCCGCGAAACATTATATCGTCACGAAAGGTCCGCCTGTTTTTGCCAAAGCCAGGCGAATGACCCCTGACAAGTTGAAAATTGCTCGCGCAGAATTCGAGCACATGCTTGAACTAGGCATCGTTCGCCCGTCTAACAGTCCCTGGGCGTCGCCGCTCCACATGGTGCCCAAAAAGTCAGGAGACTGGCGTCCATGTGGTGATTACCGCGCGCTCAATAACGTTACTGTTCCCGACCGATATCCGATTCCTCACATTCAGGACATCACGGCAAGCCTGCGCGGCACCCGTGTGTTCTCAAAAATCGATCTGGTTCGCGCGTATCACCAGATTCCAGTCGCTGAGGAAGACATACCGAAGACTGCCGTAATCACGCCTTTTGGGCTGTTCGAATTTTTGCGTATGCCGTTCGGTCTTCGCAACGCAGCCCAGACTTTTCAACGACTCATCGATTCAGTCACTAGAGATCTAAATTTCGTCTATGCATACATCGACGATATCCTAGTTGCCAGCGCCTCTGAAGAACAGCACGCAGAACATCTCAAAATACTTTTCGATAGGCTGGCCGCTAATAGCATCACTGTCAACCCTGACAAATGCATATTTCAGCAGCCTTCCATCAAATTCCTTGGCCACCATATTGATCAGTATGGCATACGGCCTCTAGACGATAGAGTCCGCGCCATCAGAGACTTTCCGGTACCGACTACGTTAGCCGCTATTCGCCGTTTTAACGGCATGCTCAACTATTATCGACGTTTTCTTCCACACTGTGCCAATTTGCTAAGTCCACTAACCGACCTACTTCGTGGACGTAAAAACGGCCAGGTAGAATTGACTGCTGCTGCTGCCGAAGCATTCAAGACCAGCAAAGAAGCCTTAGCTAAAGCCGTTATGCTTCATCACTTCGATCCGAACGCTCCGCTTAGTGTCGCTGTCGACGCATCGGACACCGCCATTGGCGCCGTCCTACAGCAACATACAAATGGAAGCTGGAAACCTCTTGCTTTCTACTCTAGACGTCTACAACCCGCCGAAGTTAAGTACAGCACGTTCAGTCGCGAACTGCTGGCCGTTTACTCTACAGTTCGACATTTCCGACACGTCCTCGAAGGTAACACCTTCATTATCTTCACCGATCACAAGCCGCTTATCTACGCATTCCGAAATCAATCAGCTCGACACTCACCACGTGAGATTCGTCAGCTGGATTTCATTGCTCAATTCTCGACTGATATCCGACACATTTCTGGCCAACAAAACGTCGTCGCTGATGCTCTTTCAAGAGTATCTGCGATTGGTCCTGCCGGGCAGGCAATCGATTTGTCTGCTATGGCCGCCGCGCAATCAAACGACCAAAGTTTTTCGGAACTCCGCGATTCTTCTTTGAAGATATCCCCGCACCCTCTGCCGTCATCTGATGGTACCATTTTATGCGACACATCTACCGGACGACCTCGACCCGTCGTTCCAGAAACTTTTCGCCGTATCGTTTTCGACACCCTCCACAATATCGCCCACCCAGGCATTAAAGCTACTGCTAAGCTTGTCTCTGACAGATACGTTTGGCCGGGGATGCAACGCGATCTTACACGTTGGGCACGCAGCTGTCTCACCTGCCAGCAAGCCAAGATTCAGCGGCACGTGTCCGCTCCGCTTGGTCGCTTTCCGTCCGTTTCAGCGCGATTTGCCCATGTCCATCTCGACATAGTTGGACCACTGGCCCCGTCCAAAGGAATGGTCTATATTTTGACCATGATCGATCGTTGCACCCGTTGGCCCGAAGCCGTTCCCATCCCTGACGTTGCTGCGGAAACCGTAACACGCGCTTTTGTCGAGCGCTGGGTCGCTTCACACGGCTGTCCAGCCACAGTGACTACAGACCGCGGTCCGCAATTCGAATCGACGACCTTTAACGATCTCCTTAAACTCATTGGATGCCAACGCATTCGCACGACCGCTTACCATCCGCAAGCGAACGGCATGGTGGAACGTTTCCACCGACAGTTGAAAGCCTCACTTAGCGCCGCCAATGCGCTGAGTATGTATGTATGTAATCTCAACAGTCTAGTAACTAGACATAGAGCCAAGAAAACCATGGAAATCAGTGTATAAGAGACAGTCATTGCGTCAGAATCGTCATGGCATGCTAGCTGAAGGTGGGCAACACACTTCAGCTAATATGCCGCAAGAAAATGGAATATTTTGACAAAAATACAGAACAAAACATTTTTAGTTTGTTTGTCACACGCCGGTTTTTCTCTTTTTTTGTCATTTTCAATTTTTGTAGAATTAAACATGTGAATCAACACAACACTGTACACAATTCTTCCATTGATTCCGGTTGCGGGCCATGTCTTCAAGTGTCCTAAGCCATTGGCACTCGCCATCTTTGGGTCCCCATCCTGGAAGACGTACGGGTCCAACAGCGGCTAGACACGACGTCAGCGATTTCATGTGCTGCCGCCAAGTGGAAGGCTGACCACCACGCGGTCGCTTCCAGCCAGGTCCTTGACGAGCGAATAGAGCGCGACGCGGTAGACGCTCTGGTGCCATGCGTAGGACATGACCGAGCCATCTTAACTGGCGCAACAAAACCAGTTTGTTGAAGGAAATACTTGCATTCCCCAAGACGCGACGTCGAACGTCATTACTGGTAACTCGATGTTGCCACCGAACACGAGCGATCCTCCTTAAGCAACCGTTATCGAACGCAGAAAGACGACGCATGTCTTCCACGCGAATCGGCCAGGATTCGCTCCCGTACAACAATACTGAGCGAACGGACGCGCTGTAAACTCGGCCCTTTAGTGAGAATGAGACGTCGCGACGACGCCATAAGTGCCTCAGATTGACAAATGCTGATCGAGCTTTAGCGATACGAAGCGAAACTTCTTTGTTGATTGTGCCGTCAGCGGAAACACAGCTCCCAAGGTAGACGAAACTATCTACCTGTTCAAGTTGTGCACCTTGGAGAGTGAGCACGGGTGCAGGTGAAAGCCAATCCTTGAGCAGTACTTTACACTTCGATGGGGCGAAGCTCATGCCATACTTAGATGCTTCAACCGCCAAACGATCCAGAATGAGTTGCATACCCTGAGGATCGTCACCAAGTAAGGCGATATCATCAGCATAATCTAAGTCGGTCGCGCGCTCACCTGGTAGAAGCTCTAGGCCAAAATGTTGGAAACCTTCTAGGGCATTCGACAGAACGTCTTCGATTGCGAAGTTGAAGAGGAATGGGGACATAGGGCAGCCCTGTCGCACACCACTATTGACAGCGAATTGCGAGGAAAGCTTGCCATAGACCCTCACTCTGCCGGATGTGTGAAGGTAAAGTGCTCGTAAGATGGCGATATATTTCTCTGGCACCCCGTTCTTTAGTAAGCAACGCCATAAAGCAGGTCGATCAACGGAGTCAAAAGCGGCACGTATGTCTAGGAATGCAACGATAGTGGGCCTGTGATAAATGTGGCGATGTTCAAGGAGTTGGCGGAGCGTGAAGATTTGATCCACGCATCCGCGGCCAGGACGGAAACCAGCTTGTTCTTCACGGTAGTACGATTCACGTACTGGGGATAGTCTACGAAGTAGAATGGATGCCAACAGCTTAGAGGCAACCGAAATAAGACTAATCCCGCGATGATTTGCACATGAAGTGCGAGCGCCTTTCTTGAAAATTGGGACAATAACTGATTCGCCCCAAGAGGGAGGCACTCTCTCTTCGTGCCAAATTTTTGCGAACAGCGCGGTTAGCTGGTTAATGACTGCCACACCGCCGTACTTGAATAGCTCCGGAGGAAGTCCGTCTAAGCCGGCAGCCTTGAAGCGCTTCAAGCGTCGAATCTCGAGGCAGACTTCCGCTTCGCTGGGTGGATTCAATGGGACTAGCCAAGGTGGACCGCAAGGCGTACTGCATGTACTGATGGATGGTGGAGGCCAGTTGAACTGCGAGTGAAAGTGCTCGGCCCAGCGGTCCATACGCCTCTGTTGGTTGGTGATCGGAGACTCATCCACCTCACAAATGACCTCACTGACACCAGGCTTCCTGAGGCCAGTGGACCGAATGAGTTGGAAAAGCCTGCGAGTGTTACCAGAGAGGGCAGCAGTCTCCATCTCTAAAGCCCGCTCAGACCACCATGTCTCGCGATCCTTGCGTAGGCTTTGCTTAAGCAGCTGGTTGGTAGAACGGCGCCGCTCGTTGCAATCTGATTCCGCGGAGATATCTTTGCGGCGTTCGAAGAGCTCCAGAGAACGAGCAGAGATCCAAGACTTCAAAGGGCGTCGAGTTAGACCGCAGTATGACTGTCCGGAAATGGTCAGCGCTTTCCGTATACAAGTCCAGTGTTGTTCCACTTCTCGCGGTGGATTGCAACTGAGTGCATATGCCAGTGAAGACTGATAGCTCTCCTGGACAGAGGAATCAGTTAATCTGTTTACATCAATCTTGCGGTGCTTCGTGTTTCGGGATCCTCCAAAACACATACAGATTTTCGCGCAGACCAGAGCATGATCTGAGTCAACGAAAGTGGACCAAAAGGACCTGCAGTCCAGTACGCTGCCGCGCCATCTGAAGCTAATCGCAATGTGATCAATTTGAGACCAAGGTTGTGTTGGCGAAGGGGGACGCCAAGTTGCGGAACGTTTCTTCGTACGCCTGAAGCTAGTGCTCGAGAGAAACAGACGGTTGTCCTCGCACAATGTGAGAAGTCTCTCTCCGTTATCAGAGCGGTTCTCATCGAGCGCGTGATGACCACCAAGGTGGCGTTCGTATGGTAACAGGCGGCCAACCCGTGCATTAAAATCCCCAGCAAGGATAACGACATCCGACTTTTTAGCATTAGTCAAGAGCTGTTGTAGATTTCGGTAGAAGTCGTCCTTGACCGAGTCGCTACTGCAGTCAGTTGGAGCGTACACAGAGATCACAAACAAGTTGCGTCTCTCTTCGCGTTGCCTGTTGATTCTACATGAACCCCGAAGCCGAACTGCACATAGTCGGCTGTTAATCGGGAACCAGTCCAGTAGTGCCGCCTCGGCCTTGCCACTCAGTGCTATACCTACACCAGCCAAACCCGCTGAGCTTGCTTCTGGATCTCCAGAAAGACGCAGGTGATATCTGGCTTCGTGGTCAGTGGGGGATGTCAATGTAAGCACAGTGCTGGGATCTTGCAATCGGGTTTCTGAAAGGCAGCAGACATCAATGTCTAGGGAATCTAGGGTGCGCGCTAGACCGGCTTGCTGTCCAATCTGCATGAGTGTCCGGACGTTGAAGCACGCTAGACGGAACGAGGATTGGGGACGAAGGAGAGCCATAGGTTGAATTCCTTGATCTGCGGAGCAACCGGAATCGCAGCCAGATTGTTGAACAGATGAATCGGGTAACCGAAAGTGAGGATTGTTAGCAAACAAACAATTGGCGTGTGATGGAGTAGCGTGAAAGTGAGTAGCAGGAATAGTAGCTGATGAGCGCGTTGTGGTACAGTCCATGGTTTTGTGAGAGGGCGTGATACTACCCGGTTGCCCAAGCCGAAGTAGGGAGTTGACTTAAGGGACTCCACCCCGAGCCTTTGGCTAAATAACCTACCCGCAAGGCAGCGGGGCGAATTTAGGGAATCGCGCCCATTGGGAGGCGTTGACTGAATGATCAGCTCATGCGCCTTTGTTTGGTAGATTACCAAACAGGGGCCCAATACTCCCCATGAAGTCAGCACAATTGCTGGAATACAATGCCCCACGGAGGTGGAACATTGTCGCCGAACACTTTGCTGGAACGGGGTACACCCGAACCACCCAGCTGGCACCACGGGGAGGTAGTTCGGCAAGCCAGCGCTGAGTTGGACTGAGGTGCTGCCTATGATCCTCCTTGGGATCCGATCAGCCCTAAAGGCCGATCTACGTACGTCTAGCGCTGAGTTAGTATATGGACAACCACTGCGTTTACCTGGCGATTTCTTCTCCGATAGTCCCAGAATTCCCCGTTACGACGCGAATTATGCACGTCAGCTAGCCACGAGCATGCGTCACTACAAGCTTCCCGACGTTAGAGAACAACGACGTAAGTCTTTTGTTCCGCAGGACCTACAGCGTTGTCCGTTCGTTTTTCTTCGCCTTGATGGTCTCCGCAGACCACTGGAGCGACCTTACGAAGGTCCTTTCAAGGTCCTGCAGCGTAAGGACCGCGTTTCTATCATCGACCGTCACGGTAAACGTGAAGCTGTTACGATTGACCGTCTCAAGGTTGCCCACGTGGAACCTGAGCTCGACGAAGACCCTTGCTCGTCTTCTGACGAATCAACGCAGCCTATGATGGAAGACTCGACTGCTTCCAACATCCCTGACCCCAAGTATCACGCTCCATCCAAGCCTTCTACTTCAGCTCCGCCGCTTCCCATCGAACCAACTGCCACGTCTTCAGCAGTTCCTCCAATTTTGCGATCCGATAGGACGTCTAAGACCACGCCTTCCTCTGATTCGAACAAGTCGACTAGGTCGGGTAGACGCGTTCATTGGCCAGCTCGATTAAGGGATTAGCGTTCCTTTCACTTTTCTTATTGCTTTTCTTTTCCCTTTTGGCCAACAACATACGAACCCCTCCAAAACTTTTGAAAACGACAAAAAAACCGACAAAAGTTTTTTTGAAAACCCAAAAAGAACGCAAAATGTTTTGAAAACCCAAAAAAGAACAAAACGTTTTGAAAACACAAAAAGAGCTGCGTTTTGGCTGACGCCTACCTCATCCGGTAAGTGTCACTTTTGCTTTTGCCCTCGCCCCCACCGTCACTGCTCTTGTTTCCGTTTATCTTCCATGTATGAACCGGAGGAGATGCCGAGGCTGATGCGAACACTTGACCTTCACGAACTCGCGAACATTTAACGCTTACGAACTTCCCCCATTTTGTGTTTTTGGCACCGTTAGGGAGGACACGGGTGGGAGCCCGCTAGGGTCCGATCGCCTGGTTCTCCCCCAGCAGCTGCATCAGGTTTCACTACCTGGTCTCGCAGAAGGCTGGCCCGCGACGGACAGTCCTCACGTAGATCGAAGGGTCACCCACGGTTTCCCTTCTAGGAGGGGGGCTGTGTAGCGACCTGGAGATTCCCCCGTATGACTGTGTAAACTATTCTAAAATACATTCAAATTATAGCTTTCTTATGTATTAGGGAACTAGGCGGTTTGCCTGTTGGAACGTTGTTCCCGTTTGTTGAAAACACGAACGCCATCTCCGCCTTTGGCGCGCGACTCGATTGCGAACGACGCTCTGTCAACGCACTCGACGCCATCGACATTCTCCCTAGCTAGCTCTCTCCGGGTGCCCTATTTTTAGCATTAGCTAACGCTCCTCCCGTCCAATAAACTTTTCCCTAGCTTACTGTTGTGTCTTCTATCCATTATTTTTGGTTGGCCGTCTAGTCGCGTACCGGATATATAGCGCACGATCAACGCGCTATAATATCTTGGATCGACTAAAGTGGCACTGGTTAAAGCGTCTCCATGACGCATGCTGGTTATTTTGCCGTTGTTCCCTTTTTTGCCCCCTTTTACACCCTGTTTTGCCTTTTTATTATGGTAGTTTTATGGTTGTAAACGTGTTTTCAAATGCTGCTCTGTTTTCTTCTTAAACATGACCGTCTCGCGAAAAACCGAGACGGATGAATTCCTTGCGTCCTCGTTTTATGAGTCAAGTGCAGTTTGCAGCAATTCTGTCTGTTCAAGGCCAGTTACGGGTTCATCTGGTGGTATGCAGTGTGATGTTTGCTCCCGTTGGTATCACAAAAGTTGTACCGGCCTCCGAGCGAATCAGTACAATATGCTATCATCCAGTGAAAACCTTCTGTTTAGATGTGCTGATTGTTGCGCTCAGAAAGCGAAGCTTCCGACTTTCACGTGTGCTGAATTCAAAGCACTAGCATCCAGATTCACAGTTGTTGAGAAGGCATTAGCCGAGCTTGCCTCTCTTGCCTCGCTCAACTCTAAAGTGGATTTGATTATGAAATCCATGAATATTGCGAATGTGGACGCTGTAACGGACTATACTGCTGACAGTCCAACCGTTGACGAGGCTTTCATCCTACCGGACGCTCCAGTTCACGTGAATATAACTGACACAGATGCCTCGGACGGCATTGTTGACTCGCGCCAAATGGAAGGCAAGTCACGGGCTCCTGGGCCATTAACGAATAAGCGTAAGAGGGCAAGGAAAGCGCGCAAACCCTCCGCCCCCACACCGGAAGGTGATAAAACGCTCAAGAAACAAGCGCCTGAGTTGGAAACCACCTAGTGTTGCAATTCCCTCAGTGAGACAGGAGGTGCCGTCGCCTTCGGTCCCACCGATTGTTATCAAACAACCATGTGGCGTGGATGGTAGAGCATGTGGAGTAAATACACCTCGTCGAGGCGATTCTTACGCAGATAGCAATGTGATTTTCAGAAACATCACTGAATCCACCACCGCTCTTCCCACCGAGCGCATGCTTGATGACCTTGGTTGGCTTAAGGTTTGCGTGACCAGGCTTTTACCACCAGGTTTCCTTGGCGTTACTGTCAGGAAGCTCATCCGATTGGAAAACGTTCCGGTTGGTCAACCAAATCCTCGACCCCGTCTGCTTAGGGTGGTCCTCTCCACCCCGGAAGAGCGCAGGGCCTTACTGAGATTTGCCTTCAAGCTCAAAGGTACCAACGTTAATGTGTAACCAGACCCTCCATTAGCAGATAGGTTAAAGTCAACGGAAGCCATCAGAGACCTAAAAACCCGGCGTGCAGCAGGCGAGCAAGGTCTCCGATTGGTGGGTTTTCAGGTGGTCAGCCGGCGGTCCTTTTCTGCCCTGCCAGAACCTATTCTACTTGCGCACGACCCAGGGCTGGTCGTGCCGAAGCCCTCCAAGTAGTACTTAGGAACGTGCGTAGCCTGAGGAACATGGTGTGCGAGGTGGGTCTGCTCGTAGACAAATCTCGTCCAGATATACTTGCTTTCACTGAAACGTGGCTGTCTGAGGAAATCACAGATGGCGAAGTATATTTGCCTGGCTACGCACTGTTCCGCGCTGACCGCTCTATTGGCCGTCAAGGGGGTGGTGCAGCATTTTATGTGAGTTATCACATCGACGTATTGAGGACCAGCGTTTTTCAGTCTCTCGACAAATCTGTTGAGGTTCTCGAAGTCTTGATTTGCGCATCCTCGGTTCAGGTTACGGTCGTTTTAGTGTATAGAAGCCCTATGAGCACCTCCAATGGAATCCTTGCGTTTATACGCACTTCCTCTGCGAACAAGAGTCTGGTGCTGGGAGACTTTAAACTCCCAGAGGTTTTCTGTGATGATCTATCTTGCAGTTCATCCCTGGGATCGTTCGGTACAGAATTGCTGGACTTAACACTGCAGGTATCACTACACCTACGATGGACACCGGAGGTCTTCAGACTTCTCCTTTCCTCCCATGTGCTTCCACTCCTCTAATATGGATTACCTGCAGTTCATCCGCTTACCAAGTTTGAACATGGCTTGATTGAAAAGGTTCAGCGACGCGGTTCTAAGTACATCTTTGAGCTCC